CTGTCCTCCTGACACCCACCCTTCAGATATTTATAAGCATTTATTAGGTCCCCTCTCAGCCTTCTCTTCTCCAGGCTGAACAAGCCCAGCTCCCTCAGCCTCTCCTCATAGGACAGATGCTCCAGTCATCCAGGTCACGATGTTTCCTGCAGAGATCTAGACCACACGCGTTGGGTGGGCTTACTTTTCTTTTAAACTGTAGCCTAAAAGTACCTAAAGAGCATCTCATTAGATTCTTTCATTCTATCTTTCTTTTTCTCTCTTTTTGTTTTTCCCCTGGTTGAAAACAAAATAACAGCAACAACAACAACAAAAATCCTTCTACCTGTAGGAGACATTTTGAGACCGGGTCGAGATTTTTCAAGGGCAATCCAAGTGCATTAACCTTCTGTCTTCCCCGGGAGAATACAAGGCAGCACAAGCTTCAAAACTGTTTTGTCCTTAAGCCTCGGACACCCAGGCGCACCCCAAACGGCCGGGGCCGGCTTAGCTGCTCATCGGAGCTGCGGAGCCTGGGTCACCTCTCAAGGTGCCAGGGTGGCTCGGATTGCCACCGCACATTTTTTTAGGCTGTGGCCGCCGGCCTGTGGAGGCCCCCTGGGTGGGGCTGCGGGTGGCTCTGCACCCTGTTTGCGGCTGGGTGCAGCTCCCGAGGGGCTTGGTCGTGCCGGGACCTTGTCCACAACAATCTACCTGAGCTTTGTATTTCCCTGATGTTATCCAGCCACTCAAGCAGCACTGCAGTCTGCAAGACTTTTTTTTTAATGCTTTTTTCTACACTGGAAACAATTATTGTTTTCTACTGCAGATTTTTCTGGCAAAGACAAGAAGAAAAGCACACGACCCCCACTGACTTGAACTGTCTAAAGCATTTAACAGATTTGTGTTGCATTTGCAGATTCGGTCAAAGAAAACTCAGCAAAGTTCTGGAAAAAAACGCAAACGCTCCAATATTGTCGATTTGAAATAGTTCACTACTTTTTGTTATTTCCAAAAAAAAAAAAATCATTTTCATTTTTCTATTCAAAGTTACTTTTTTTTTTGGCATTTTACTTTAGCATTGCATAAAGTCTTTTGAAATATTAAAACAGGATGAAGTGGCTTGTTCCCGGTTGAGAAAAAACATTTTTTGTTTAACTAAAACTGAACACAAACTAGCTGAGCAGCCGCTTCTTCACCCAGCCCTCATCTTCACTTCCGCAGCAGGGGGGAAGCCGCTTGCCGCTTGGCCCTGGTTGCTGCTTTGTCTCCTAAAGACCAAACTGGGCTGCGGTGAGATGAAATGACTGCCCGAAGGCCCCAGAGGGGTCTGGGGCAGGGCGTTAGTTGTGCCCCAAGTCAGCTTTCCTCTACCCTTTTTGCCTGCACCTTCCGAGCCGGCACAGCTCTGCTGGTGGTTATGATGGCAGCCCGGATGGGGACGGGTGGCTTTCAGTAACGAGGTCTTACATGAGATTATTGATAGTCTCGGGCATGGCAGGGCGCTGATTTTGGCTGGGCCCGTGTTTACCGCAATAATGCAAACACTAACCAACAATAACGTGATAGAGAAGGCTCCTGCAACCAAATATCCTAAATGCCCTGAATCAAAACCTGACGAACTAAGTGGTTCAAAATACCAAAGCATCAGATCAGAATATAATTCACAAGGAAAAAAAAATACAAAGAAGCCTCTCGATGGATTTGAAATTGCTCTCTACTCTGTTTTTTCTCCTCTTTTCTCTCAGCAAGCATCTCTGCACTCATCTTTTACACTCCTTGCTCTTTTCTCTCAGGTAGCGCTTAACACCACGGCTCTTTGTCCTCCCGATGGAAAAATCCAGATGGAAAGAAGCGTGGTTCACAGGGAAATGGTCACGTAAGTGGAATTAATCTTTCGGATACTGTAATGTGAAATCCGATCTTCCTTTTTGTTAAGAAGACCCAATCTGTGTCTCCATGTTTTGGCCAGGATCTGACGCTCAGAGAACCCAGGAGTCTCTGGAGGCAGAGCTGAAAGCCTCGTGCACGGAAACGGGCGCATTTAAAAGCAATAGTGAAGTTAAACCAGCCAGATGGGAACCTAGCAGGCGACCGCGAGGGGAACGCGCTGTTTTCCTTGCAAGCCTACGGGGGCTTGTTTGCAGGAATTAGAATCTCTCACCAGCA